CAGAGAAAAGTGCAAAGTGACTAACAGGTTGAGAGCAAAAATCATTTAAATAAGTGCCAGTGCAGGTGCATTTGCTAGGTTTTGCAGCCTGGTAACAAAAATTGCCTTGAACTTAGCCAAAAGGCCTAGCCCAAGAGAAAGCAAACAGGTGACATGGCCATGTGCTTGTTCTCATTGTGGCTTTCCCAGGCTCATGTGATACTAAGAGAACCCTTGGCATGATCAACTTTTAGGGGGCACTGACACCACAGGCTCTCTGCTTATCCAGCCCATGACAAGATCAGGCAGCTGTATTCAATTCAGGAGGTACTTGGTCCCTCGGAACCCTCCACACTAAGGGTGTACTACCAACCCACACCTTACGTGGTGCTTCCTAATTCGAATTCCTCACCTAGTGGGAATGCTCCTTATTATACCAGCAGAGATACAGTATAGCCAGCCATTCCTACCAAAAGGGCAGAACAGCAGTGTAGCACCCCTAATGGACACTGATAAGAACAGACACTACACTTGATCTTAGCCAAAAGGCAAGAAGTAAACAAGAGGTCATCTGAAAGTAAATGGGAGTTTATATGATGTCCAGTTGAAATCCTAATTGTAACTGCAATTGACATTTATTTGTTATTAGCTAGATATTCACGTTATTGAGATGCTTCTCCAGTATATGCTCCTATCTGGTAAAAATAAATTTCCTAGTTGTTTTGAAAGACATACCCTTGTCCTGCTGATGTTGAATACCTCATATTAATTCCTCTGATGTCCTCTTGTAGGCAAGAGTTAGGACTGTGATTTGCATTTATATGAGGTATAGCTTAGCTTTTATGTAAATGATTTCCTTACTGACCAAAATGTTGTAAATATTATGTGATTACCTTTGATCATACTAATGTGTAATTTGTATGTCGTTGACATGGTATTATAGACAACCACAACTGTGGAAGAAGCAGATCAGCCTTACCCCACATCTATATCAGTGTATTTAAATATGTAAAATCCTTTGGGTGAGGTACTGAGGGTAAATTATGCGGTAGCTGTCACGATCCGCCTGGCAGCGTCTCTATCGGTCCACAGTACGGAGTTCCTCAGGGCGTGGGGTCTAAGTCCCAATCTGCTTATTCACGAGGGCCCCTGATGGTGTGGAAGGACTTGGAGCAGACTGAGACCAGGTCGTGACCCCTGAGTACGTCCGACAATGGTAGAGAGCACGGTCAGAGGAGTGCGGGGTAAGGAGTCTGATGTGAAGAGGCTGGCAGACCTGGTAACCAGGAACGATCCCTGCAGGATGGATGGATGGATCGACTGGGTGGCTGGAAGCGTAGTCGGGCAGGCCAGGTCAGCAACGTGCGGGCAGCGAGGTACCGGAGGAGAAGGCAGAGAATGGTTGGGGTCACAAGCCGGGTTCAGTAACTAGCAGACAGCGCGGTACAGAGGGTCAGGCAGAAGGATGGTCAGGCAAGCCAAGGGTTAAGCAGGATACAATCAGCAGGGTCAGGTACAATGCAGAGGTCAGCAACGAAGTAACACAGGATCAGGTAGCAGGAACAGAGCACAAAAGACCAAACGGCAATTTGCCATACCTCTAGTCCTGTTTAAATAGCCTGCCCTGCGCTGTCATTGGTGCCAGGTGCGCGTCCGCGATCGCGAGTGCGCATGCGTGGCCATCGCGATTGCCCAGGTCCCGCTGCTTGCTGGTTAGGACGCATCGGTATCCTGCGCATGCGCCGCCCGGCGCATCGTGGCAGGGACACCGATCCCTGACAGTAGCAGCTCATGCTAACAGATAATCGCGATATTTTGATAAACCAATTATATTAATTGTCTGTGTATATGATATATATATATATATACATACACACACATATCATAATCTATGACAAACTTTGTGGATGAGGGAAATGTCGAAGTTACTATTTGTAATGACATACGCTTCTAATGTATACAAGTACAGCGTTAACACGAGTATTTTTTGTTTTCTTTTTAGAATGTTAATCAAAATTCAACAGGATATAAACAAAAAAGAGGAAAAGAAAGGATTATTTCCAATAAGGTATGCTCTGTAGCACGTTTTGATGCTTATAAATACTGGCAAAAGTGTATGCATTTTTTAATCATTTCACCTCTCACTAGACCAGAGCTCTTTTTTTCACTTCTGCAAAGAACCTGTTCATTCAGCGCTAATTTCGTCATTATTTAAGCTAACTATATTTATATATAGTTTGGAGAACTTGGATAAGGTTGAGGGAAGTGAGTGGGATACTTCAAAAACAAGTACACTTGTACACTTTAGGACTTGAGTATTCTTCGGGACAAGCTATGTTTAAGTCCTTGCTTGCAATAAACAGTGGACTTCAGCTTTAATGTAGAAATATTAGTAGTAGAAGTTTATAGCCCAAGAGCAGTGTCCCCATTAACCAGGAGGATGTATACACGGAGCTCTTCAGGACACCAGTCAGTATCTTCTTAGCTGACTCTTTAGCACCAGAGGGGTTAAAGCAGCCCACAGTTTCTAAGATCCTTTAGGGGTGTCTGTACTCACAAGGCCCAATAACAGCTGGATGCCTTCTTCTGCGTTACCAGATCTCCAGTATATGTTCCCTCAGTCAGCTTTAGTAGGACCCGAGTCTCAGCACTCAGGTCCTCAGGTCACCCACCTGAGGCCACATGACAGCAGTCCCCTCCAGGCTGGACCAGTTCTATATAGGAATAGACCAAGAGTCCAGTGTGCTCACTGAATATATATAGTTACCTAGCATACCATCAGATTTGCCACTCTGGGATAGACCAGAGTCTCAATGTTCATGCTGCCATCTGCATAGCTCCACACCTATAATCCAGAAGCTTCTCAAGCTTTCTGGATGCAGAGGGAGCTATCAGCCTGGCAGTAATTGATCACACTGAGCAGACCTGACTAGCAGAACAAGGCATCACTGATTACAATGTGCACGTTATGCTTTCACTTATCAACAATCTTAACCACACTGACTACAGTATGAAAACTAAATTTACCTATCAAAACACAAGCTAAAGCTAACTATCTAAACCTAGCACCTATCTAGGAGGGTGCTACAAATATATATATGTGTGTGTGTATATTCTGAAAAAGAAATTCTGAGCAATCACACATATGTGGCTCTGCGAGCCACATTTTGCGATGACACGGCAGTCCATTGATTTGAATGGGCTGCTGTGCCTCCTGAAATGCAGGGAAAAGGTCCCTGCAGCATCCTAGAAATCTCAGCCCACACAGGCTGCCACAAGTGCAGTGCAGTTTCCAGCAGCGTGAGAGTGATTTCTAGTGTGCGTGGTGTGCCATTAGGATTAATGGCACCTGCACACATCCAGCACGTTTTCCTGTGCGGGTATTGCGGCTGTGGCAACAAGTGCAGACCTGCAGCGGGAAAAAACAAGCACAGATGTGAACCTAACCTTAGGCAGATGTTATTGTAAAAGACTTAAAAAAAAACCCTCACCTTTTTCTACTTTGTTAAAATAGTGCTATTGTAGTGTTACTGTGTGTGTGGTAAATTAGGGCAGAATGAGGTTAACTAAACTAAGGATTAATAAAGAGTTTTCCTTGTAAATTTGCTTGTCAGTTAAGACTCAGTTCACACTACTGTGATGTGATTTCTATGTGGTTTTCAGTGCTGTTATGTAGAGAGACTTTGATGCGACTTTGGCTGTGGTTAGAATATTCTATGGAGCCAAATTGCACTGAAATCTCATCATAGTAGCACAAGAACCTTTTTCAAAATTGCAATGGCCAGAGTTGCATTGATGTGAACAGGCACCATTGAAAACAATGGCTCACACTGATGCGATTTCTGATGCAACTTAATGCAGTTTCTGAAGTGAAGTCCCTGTCCAAACTCTTGAGACACAAAGCTGGACAAACCTGTCACAGGAGATATGATTTAATTTAGCTGAGATTCTGACCTATACTGGCATTACTGTCCACTTTTTAAAATTGCTGGCTACCTGCCATTCAATACCTTCAAGTGAAAATTATAGTGAAGCCTGAATGCCTAATTTGAGTACTTGTCAAATTCAGTGACTTAGAAGCACCAGGCATTTTCAGGAGGTACGTATATAAGTGTATATGTTCCTTGAACAACCATTTGGAAATGAATACTACTGTACAAGATGTGAGAAAGTTGTTTGGAAGCTCAGAATTTGGATCTAAGGAATCATTTGGCAACACTGTGAAACATCAACAGCCTGGATAGGAGCGAGGACCCTTCCTGTCAGGTGCTAGCTGGGGTCAATATAGAGGAGGGTTGAGATATGGAGATGAAAGCAACAGGGGTAGGTAGTTATCTCCTAGAGCACAGGTGTCAAACTGGAGGCCCTCCAGATGTTGTCCCATGAGGCATTGCAAGCTTGACAGGTACAAGCCTGACTCCCAAAGGCAGAGGCATGATGGGACTTGTAGTTTCACAACAGCTGGAAAGCCGCCAGTTTGATACCCCTGTCCTAGAGCATAACTAAGTGGTGAAGCAAGGATGGTGGGACCAGAGCCTGCACCTTTGAAACTACGTTTGCAATGGCAGCTCCCATTGTTATATTCTGACAAGTTGAATTTAGGTTTATTTTGCGAGCAAGCCAACATTCTGTTTTCCTTTTCTCAGGTGGTCTTTTGGTATGCAATGCTTTCTGCAGCTCTAAAGGCAGGTTTTCTGCAATTTTCTACTTAACAGAAGCATTTAAATTCCCTCACCAGTCTTCCCAGTGCCAACACATACTCTTGTTTTCTGAGGTTTTTACAGTATATAAAGGGTTATATTTCTGCAATAAATCCAGTTGATTGGTTGCGGCAGGTAGCGGGGAAGTTGGTTCATGGGTCAGGGATAATAATAGGGATGGTAGGAATTAAAGATGAGCGAAGTATTCAAAAATTCGATTTGGCTGATTCGGCGAATTCGCGGAATAAATTTGATTCGAGTCGAATATATTCGCTGCGAATTTAACTTATAAAAAGGGTGTTTCTAGGCTTCAGAGAGCCTTTATATTAGTGCAGAACACTGTACCTTTAATTTAAATGCCCTTGGAGTCTGCTGGGGAAGAGAAATAATACTGTCAGTCAGTATGACATGCAGATGAGTGCCGTCGATCTTAGAATCACCGCACACTTCACTCATTTGGGCAGTCACGGGGCCAAAACCAGAGTGTGGAGCCACAGTGTGGCGGTGGAGGGCAGCAGCAATGGGAGGCCATACAGCACCCTATGAAAAAATGGAACCCACCAGCAGTGTGAGGAGACCTGAAAGTGGCACATGGCAGAGTGTGGCGATGGAGACAGCAGCAATGAGAGGCCGTACAGGGACCCATGACACACTCTGGACCTGGCAGCAGCATGAGGAGGCGGTACAGGGGCCCATGACAGATTACGGACCTGGCAGCAGCATGAGGAGTCGGTACGGGGGCCCATGGCAGATTACGGGCCTGGCAGCAGCAATAGGAGGCCCGTAATCTGCCAGCACCCTATGACAAAATGGAACCCACCAGCAGTGTGAGGAGACCCTGAAAGTGGCACATGGCAGAGTGTGGCGATGGAGACAGCAGCAATGGGAGGCCGTACAGGGACCCATGACACACTCTGGACCTGGCAGCAGCATGAGGAGGCGGTACAGGGGCCCATGACAGATTACGTGCCTGGCAGCAGCATGAGGAGTCGGTACGGGGGCCCATGGCAGATTACGGGCCTGGCAGCAGCAATAGGAGGCCCGTAATCTGCCAGCACCCTATGACAAAATGGAACCCACCAGCAGTGTGAGGAGACCTGAAAGTGGCACATGGCAGAGTGTGGCGATGGAGACAGCAGCAAAGGGAGGCTGTACAGGGACCCATGACACACTCTGGACCTGGCAGCAGCATGAGGAGGCGGTACAGGGGCCCATGACAGATTACGGGCCTGGCAGCAGCATGAGGAGTCGGTACGGGGGCCCATGGCAGATTACGGGCCTGGCAGCAGCAATGGGAGGCCCGTAATCTGCCAGCACCCTATGACAAAATGGAACCCACCAGCAGTGTGAGGAGACCTGAAAGTGGCACATGGCAGAGTGTGGCGATGGAGACAGCAGCAATGGGAGGCCGTACAGGGACCCATGACACACTCTGGACCTGGCAGCAGCATGAGGAGGCGGGTACAGGGGCCCATGACAGATTACGGGCCTGGCAGCAGCATGAGGAGTCGGTACGGGGGCCCATGGCAGATTACGGGCCTGGCAGCAGCAATGGGAGGCCATACAGCACCCTATGACAAAATGGAACCCACCAGCAGTGTGAGGAGACCTGAAAAGTGGCACATGGCAGAGTGTGGCGATGGAGACAGCAGCAATGGGAGGCCGTACAGGACCCATGACACACTCTGGACTGGCAGCAGCAAGAGGAGGCGGTACAGGGACCCATGGCAGAGTGGCGAAGCGTAAGCAGCTTAAATTGAAGGCCATACAGAGGCCTATGTTAAAAATAATAACATGTTTGGGGCATGATTCATGGCGGATTTAGTCAGTTGTGTCAGGAACTGGTGGTTTGAAATCCAGACTAATCCACGCCTGATTCATTTTCACAAACGTGAGTCTCTCCACACTTTGGGTGGACAGTCGTGTCCTCCGCGGAGTTACAATACCTCCTGCCGCACTAAACACGCGCTCCGATGCCACGCTACTGGCCGGGCATGACAGCCTTTCAAGGGCAAATTCAGCTAGTTGGGGCCAAAGGTCAAGTTTCGTTGCCCAGTAGTCAAGGGGATTGTCTACCTCGGTTGGCAGGGTGCTGTCCAAGTAGGCCCAAGCCTGTTGTTTGAGGTCCTGCTCCAGGTCCACCTGATGCTGCTGCTGCTGCGGCTGGTTAGTAGTTTCCTCACTGCGCTGGTGAAGAAAGCTACTCATCATCGACTGCAGACTGAGGCAGCCGCTGCTGGTGGAGCTGCCACTGCTCCTACCACCCCACCCCCCCCCTGCTGCCATGGCAGCGGAACGCGAGAGCGCACAGGGCCCACAGTGTCTGAAGATGGACGTTGGCGCAGAAAGGCAGAGACCAACTGACTACATAGGTGGTTTTTTATAGTACTTTATTTTGGCCTCCCTCTCAGCAGGTGTGTGAAAAAGGCCACCATTTTTGAACGGTAGCGAGGGTCCAACAAGGTGGACAGCCAAAAGTCATCCCTCTGTCTGATGGTTATTATTCGGCTGTCGCTACGCAAGCAACTGAGCATGCTATATGCCATTTGTGCCAAGGAATGCGAGGGACTCCCTGCCTCCATCTCCACAGCATACTGCCACGGTGCGTCTGGGTCCTCTGTCTCCTCCTCCTCCTCTACCAGATGCTCCTGCTCCTCCACTCCTGTCCGCTGAGTGGAAAAACCACCCATTTCACTCAATAATTCCTGAGCACCAATGTCCTCTTCTACCTCCTCCTCCTCTCTTCTTCCTGTCCTGCCCCCACAGGGGTCATGTGGCGTTGAGATCTGTGCGCCACGTCTACCGCACCCTGACCAGCCATTGTTAACAGCATTTGTTCCAGGACGTGCAACAGAGGAATGACGTCGTTCATCCCATAGTCCTGCCGACTCACGAATAGCGTGGCCTCCTCAAAGGGCCTGAGCAAGAGGCAGGTGTCACGCATGAGCTGCCAATGGCTGACATCTAAGTTACACAGGGGGAGTACCTTTATCCGCTTGTAACATCAGGAAATCGGTGATGGCCTTTCGCTGTTCGTAAGGCGGTCTAACATATGTAGGGTTGAATTCCACCTTGTTGCAACGTCACAGCATGAGGAGTCGGTACGGGGGCCCATGGCAGATTACGGGCCTGGCAGCAGCAATGGGAGGCCCGTAATCTGCCAGCACCCTATGACAAAATGGAACCCACCAGCAGTGTGAGGAGACCTGAAAGTGGCACATGGCAGAGTGTGGCGATGGAGACAGCAGCAATGGGAGGCCGTACAGGGACCCATGACACACTCTGGACTTGGCAGCAGCATGAGGAGGCGGTACAGGGGCCCATGACAGATTACGGGCCTGGCAGCAGCATGAGGAGTCGGTACGGGGGCCCATGGCAGATTACGGGCCTGGCAGCAGCAATGGGAGGCCCGTAATCTGCCAGCACCCTATGACAAAATGGAACCCACCAGCAGTGTGAGGAGACCTGAAAGTGGCACATGGCAGAGTGTGGCGATGGAGACAGCAGCAATGGGAGGCCGTACAGGGACCCATGACACACTCTGGACCTGGCAGCAGCATGAGGAGGCGGTACAGGGGCCCATGACAGATTACGGGGCCTGGCAGCAGCATGAGGAGTCGGTACGGGGGCCCATGGCAGATTACGGGCCTGGCAGCAGCATGAGGAGTCGGTACGGGGGCCCATGGCAGATTACGGGCCTGGCAGCAGCAATGGGAGGCCCGTAATCTGCCAGCACCCTATGACAAAATGGAACCCACCAGCAGTGTGAGGAGACCTGAAAGTGGCACATGGCAGAGTGTGGCGATGGAGACAGCAGCAATGGGAGGCCGTACAGGGACCCATGACAGATTACGGGCCTGGAAGCAGCATGAGGAGGCGGTACAGGGGCCCATGACAGATTACGGGCCTGGCAGCAGCAATGGGAGGCCCGTAATCTGCCAGCACCCTATGACAAAATGGAACCCACCAGCAGTGTGAGGAGACCTGAAAGTGGCACATGGCAGAGTGTGGCGATGGAGACAGCAGCAATGGGAGGCCGTACAGGGACCCATGACACACTCTGGACCTGGCAGCAGCATGAGGAGGCGGTACAGGGGCCCATGGCAGATTACGGGCCTGGCAGCAGCAATGGGAGGCCCGTAATCTGCCAGCACCCTTTGACAAAATGGAACCCACCAGCAGTGTGAGGAGACCTGAAAGTGGCACATGGCAGAGTGTGGCGATGGAGACAGCAGCAATGGGAGGCCGTACAGGGACCCATGACAGATTACGGGCCTGGCAGCAGCATGAGGAGGCGGTACAGGGGCCCATGACAGATTACGGGCCTGGCAGCAGCAATGGGAGGCCCGTAATCTGCCCGCACCCTATGACAAAATGGAACCCACCAGCAGTGTGAGGAGACCTGAAAGTGGCACATGGCAGAGTGTGGCGATGGAGACAGCAGCAATGGGAGGCCGTACAGGGACCCATGACAGATTACGGGCCTGGCAGCAGCATGAGGAGGCGGTACAGGGGCCCATGACAGATTACGGGCCTGGCAGCAGCAATGGGAGGCCCGTAATCTGCCAGCACCCTATGACAAAATGGAACCCACCAGCAGTGTGAGGAGACCTGAAAGTGGCACATGGCAGAGTGTGGCGATGGAGACAGCAGCAATGGGAGGCCGTACAGGGACCCATGACAGATTACGGACCTGGCAGCAGCATGAGGAGGCGGTACAGGGGCCCATGGCAGATTTACGGGCCTGGCAGCAGCAATGGGAGGCCCGTAATCTGCCAGCACCCTATGACAAAATGGAACCCACCAGCAGTGTGAGGAGACCTGAAAGTGGCACATGGCAGAGTGTGGCGATGGAGACAGCAGCAATGGGAGGCCGTACAGGGACCCATGACAGATTACGGCCTGGCAGCAGCATGAGGAGTCGGTACGGGGGCCCATGGCAGATTACGGGCCTGGCAGCAGCAATGGGAGGCCCGTAATCTGCCAGCACCCTATGACAAAATGGAACCCACCAGCAGTGTGAGGAGACCTGAAAGTGGCACATGGCAGAGTGTGGCGATGGAGACAGCAGCAATGGGAGGCCGTACAGGGACCCATGACAGATTACTGGACCTGGCAGCAGCATGAGGAGCGGTACACGGGGGCCATGGCAGATTACGGGCCTGGCAGCAGCAATGGGAGGCCCGTAATCTTCCAGCACCCTATGACAAAATGGAAACCCACCAGCAGTGTGAGGAGACCTGAAAGTGGCACATGGCAGAGTGTGGCGATGGAGACAGCAGCAATGGGAGGCCGTACAGGGACCCATGACACACTCTGGACCTGGCAGCAGCATGAGGAGGCGGTACAGGGGCCCATGACAGATTACGGGCCTGGCAGCAGCAATGGGAGGCCCGTAATCTGCCAGCACCCTATGACATGAACCACCAGCAGTGTGAGGAGACCTGAAAGGCCTGGCAGCGATGGAGACAGCAATGGGAGGCCGTACAGGGACCCATGACACACACTGGACCTGGCAGCAGCATGATGAGGCGGTACAGGGGCCCATGACAGATTACGGGCCTGGCAGCAGCATGGAGGCCCGGTAATCTGCCAGCCCATGGAGACAAAATGGCAGCACCAGCAGGTGAGGGACCCCATGTGGCACACTCTGGACCTGGCAGCAGCATGAGGAGGCGGTACAGGGGACCCATGACAGATTACGGGCCTGGCAGCAGCATGAGGAGTCGGTACGGGGGCCCATGGCAGATTACGGGCCTGGCAGCAGCAATGGGAGGCCCGTAATCTGCCAGCACCCTATGACAAAATGGAACCCACCAGCAGTGTGAGGAGACCTGAAAGTGGCACATGGCAGAGTGTGGCGATGGAGACAGCAGCAATGGGAGGCCGATACAGGGACCCAGCAGACACACTCTGGACCTGGCAGCAGCATGAGGAGGCGGTACAGGGGCCCATGACAGACACTACGGGCCTGGCAGCAGCATGAGGAGTCGGTACGGGGGCCCATGGCAGATTACGGGCCTGGCAGCAGCAATGGGAGGCCCGTAATCTGCCAGCACCCTATGACAAAATGGAACCCACCAGCAGTGTGAGGAGACCTGAAAGTGGCACATGGCAGAGTGTGGCGATGGAGACAGCAGCAATGGGAGGCCGTACAGGGACCCATGACACACTCTGGACCTGGCAGCAGCAAGAGGAGGCGGTACCATGGGGGCCCATAGCAGATGGCGAAGCCTGGCAGCAGCTTAAATTGAAGGCCATACAGAGGCCTATGTTAAAAATAATAACATGAGGAGTTTGGGGCATGATTCATGGCGGATTTAGTCAGTTGTGTCAGGAACTGGTGGTTTGAAATCCAGACTAATCCAGCCTGATTCATTTTCACTAAAGTGGAGTCTCTCCACACTTTGGGTGGACAGCGTGTCCTCCGCGGAGTTACAATACCTCATGCCGCACAAAACAACGCGCCTCCGATGAGGACGCTACTGGCCGGGCCATGACAGCCTTTCAAGGGCAAATTCAGCTAGTTGGGGCCAAAGGTCAAGTTTCGTTGCCCAGTAGTCAAGGGGATTGTCTACCTCGGTTGGCAGGGTGCTGTCCAAGTAGGCCCAAGCCTGTTGTTTGAGGTCCTGCTCCAGGTCCACCTGATGCTGCTGCTCTGCTGCAGCGGCTGGTTAGTAGTTTCCTCACTCACTGCGCTGGTGAAGAAAGCTACTCATCACGACTGCAGACTGAGGCAGCCGCTGCTGTGGAGCTGCCACTGCTCCTACCACCCCACCACCCCTCCCCTGCTGCCATGGCAGCGGAACGCGAGCGCACAGGGCCCACAGTGTCTGAGGATGGGGACGTTGGCGCAGAAAGGCAGAGACCAACTGACTACATAGGTGGTTTTTATAGTACTTTATTTTGGCCTCCCTCTCAGCAGGTGTGAAAAAGGCCACCAGCAGAACGGTAGCGAGGGTCCAACAGTGTGGACATGCCAAAAGTCATCCCTCTGTCATGCAATGGGAGGCCGTATTCGGACCCTGTCGCTACGCAAGCAACCGAGGCATACAATGGGCATGGCATTTGTGCCAAGGCAATGGGAGGCCCGTACGGGGGGCCCCCTGCCTACCATCTCAGCAGCATAAGGGGCCCTGCCACGGTGCGTCTGGCAAAATCCTCTGTCCTCACCTCCTCCAATTACGGGCCTCTACCTGAGCAATGGAGACCTCCACTCCAGCATCCCGCTGAGTGGAAATGGGCAGAGCTTTGTTCACCAATGGCAGATTCCTGAGCAGCAATGTCAGGCCCTCTACCAGGGACCCTTCACACCTGTCCTGCCCCCACAGGGGCTACATGTGGCCATGGCAGATTACGGGCATGGCCAGTGATGAGACCGTACGCACCCTGACCAGCCATTACCCTAGCAACAGCAATGTTCCAGGACGTGCCAACAGAGCCATGACGTCAAGTTCATCCCCATAAGTGCCGACTCATGCACCTGCAATGACAAAATAGACTGGCCAAGCCTCAAAGGGCCGTACAGGGCCGGCATGGTGCGATCATGAGACCTTGCCAGCAGCAAGGAGGCGTTACACAGGGACCCCATGACCTTTATTACGGGCCTGGCAGCAGCATCAGGAGATCCCGTATCTGCCAGCAGATTACCCTATGACAAAATGGTCCACCAGCAGGTGAGGAGACTGAAAGTGGCCATGGCAGAGTGTGGCGATGGAGACAGCAGCAATGGGAGAGCGTACGGGGGCCCATGACAGATTACCCCGGGCCTGCAGCAGCAGCAGTACATCCAGTACTTACGGCAGCCATGAGGAGCGGTACAGGGGCCCATGGCAGATTACGGCCTGCAGCAATGGGGCCCGTAATCTGCCAGCACCCTATGACAAAATGGAACCCACCACCAGTGTGAGGAGACCTGAAAGTGGCACATGGCAGAGTGTGGCGATGGAGACAGCAGCAATGGGAGGCCGTACAGGGACCCATGACACACTCTGGACCTGGCAGCAGCATGAGGAGGCGGTACAGGGGGCCCCATGGCAGATTACGGGCCTGGCAGCAGCATGGGAGGCCGGTAATCTACCAGCACCCATGACAAAATGGAACCCACCAGCAGTGTGAGGAGACCTGAAAGTGGCACATGCAGAGTGTGGCGATGGCACAGCAGCAATGGGAGGCCGTACCTGGGGCCCATGGCAGACAGAGGGGCCCATGGCAGAGATTACGGCCTGGCAGCAGCAAGGAGGCGGTACAGGGGCCCATGGCAGATTCTGGGCCTGGCAGCAGCAATGGGAGGCCCGTAATCTGCCAGCACCCTATGACAAAAATGGAACCCACCAGCAGTGTGAGGAGACCTGAAAGTGGCACATGGCAGAGTGTGGCGATGGAGACAGCAGCAATGGGAGGCCGTACAGGGACCCATGACACACTCTGGACCTGGCAGCAGCATGAGGAGCGGTACAGGGGCCCATGACAGATTACGGGCCTGGCAGCAGCTGAGGATGGGGAGGCCCGTAATGCACCCTATGACAAAATGGAACCCACCAGAGTGTGAGGTACCTGAAAGGGGCACATGGCAGAGTGTGGCGATGGAGACAGCAGCAATGGGAGGCCGTACAGGGACCCATGACACATTTACGGGCCTGGCAGCAGCATGAGGAGGCGGTACGGGGGCCCATGGCAGATTACGGGCCTGGCAGCAGCAATGGGAGGCCCGTAATCTGCCAGCACCCTATGACAAAATGGAACCCACCAGCAGTGTGAGGAGACCTGAAAGTGGCACATGGCAGAGTGTGGCGATGGAGACAGCAGCAATGGGAGGCCGTACAGGGACCCATGACACACTCTGGACCTGGCAGCAGCATGAGGAGGCGGTACAGGGGCCCATGACAGATTACGGGCCTGGCAGCAGCATGAGGAGCCCGTACGGCCAGGGCCCATGGCAGATTACGGGCCTGGCAGCATGATGGGACCTGAAAGTGCGAGCACATGACATCAATGTGGCGATCACAGCAGCATGGGAGGCCGTACAGGACCCATGGCACCTGTCGACCTGGAGACTGGCACAGCATGAGGAGGCGGTACCTCCCATGGCAGATTACTGGGCCTGGCAGCAGCAATGTCTCCCCCCGTAATCTGCCAGCACCCTATGACAAAATGGAACCTGGCACCAGCATGTGAGGAGACCTGAAAGTGGCACATGGCAGATTAGTGTCTTGGCGATGGGACAGCAGCAATGGGAGGCCGTACAGGGACCCATGACAAAATGGGCCTGCAGCAGCAGTGTGAGGGGCGGTAACACCTGAAAGCCTGGCAGCAGCAGATGTTGGCTGGTGACAGCAGGTGAATGGGAAGAGATGGAAGCGGACATGACAGACCGAGCCAACCAATGATGACAGCAGCAAGGGTTGTACGGGGAGACAGACCCGCAGATGAGGAGGCGGTACAGGGGCCGGGAGCACTGGCCTCTGGCAGCAGCATGAGGAGGCGGTACAGGGGCCCATGGCAGATTACGGGCCTGGCAGCAGCAATGGGAGGCCCGTAATCTGCCAGCACCCTATGACAAAATGGAAGCCACCAGCAGTGTGAGGAGACCTGAAACAGGCACATGCAGAGTGTGCGACCTGAGCAGCAGCAATGGGAGGCCGTACAGGGACCCATGACAGCATCTACGGACCTGGCAGCAGCATGAGGAGGCGGTACAGGGGCCCATGGCAGATTACGGGCCTGGCA